AAAAAAAAAAAAAAAAAAAAAAAAAGACCGGGGAGGGAGCAGTGATGAGGCCCGAAATAGTCCCTTCCGGCGGCGGATCCCTCCGCCGCTCTCATTGGCCCCGCGCGGGCGCGTCGCGCCGCCCGCCGCGATCCTTCCGCCCCGGCGGCGCAGTTAAGGCGGGCGCGGGCAGGTGAGGGCAGGCCCCTTCCTTCCTTCCTCCTTCCCTCCCGTGGCTGTATCCTTCCGCCGGCGGGGGCAGCTTCCGGATCGCCGCGGCTCTCCGCGCTCGCTGGCCCGCTCCGCCATTGCGGTCCCGCCGCCCGTTGTGCCCCGGACCCCGCCGAGCCGCCGCCGCTCCGGGCCGGCTTCGGACTGGAGCCTCAGCCCGCTACCACCAGCGCCGCCGCCATGGCCCAGATCCTGCCCATCCGCTTCCAGGAGCATCTCCAGGTAGGCACCGGGGCTGCGCGCGGGGGCAGCGGGCGCCTCCGGCGGCGGCCGTTGGCGGGGGGGAGGGGAGCGGAGCCGCCCGCCCTCAGGCAGCGCCCGCCCCGAGGCAGCGCCCGCCGCGCCGAAGGGCACCTTCCCCCCGCCTCGAGCCGCGGCCTCCCCGCCGGGCCCGCGCGCGCCGCCCCCGCCGCCGTGGGCGMGCCTGGCGCCGCGCCCGCACCTGCTGGGCGGCGCGTTGCGCGGCGCGGGGCGGCTCGAGCGGCCCCGCACGGCGAGGCCCGGCCGGCGGTGAATCAGCGGCGTGTAAACTTGCCTCCATGTCTCTCTAATCCTCTCTTTTTATTTCATTTTTTTTTTTTTTGGCAAAATACCCCTTGAGGTCAAGGGGTCCTTTGGTAAAAAGGCTCCGTCAAGCTGTTTCGTTGGAGTTGGGGCTCCTTGTGTTGCCCTCTGTGAGGGGAAAAAAATGTGTATGGCAGCAAAACGCGAAGGCCACTGCGGGTTTCCTGTGCCGCGGGCGCTGCAGCGGCTGCTCTGCGCCTGCTGGCCGTGAGCCTCTGACACCCCCAGACCCAGGGCCTATSCCAAAACCCGAACAAGATACTAACAGGTCACTTCCAAGCACTGGCTTTTTTATTTATGCTTTTCTCCAAAGTGGTCCCTTGACCGATAGAGCCGCTCCAGAATTTGTTACTGGTGTTATTTAGAAGGCAAACTTACCCTCTCAGATGAGCGTGCACCTCTAATGCTGCTTGGTGGAGCTGGCTTGGAGCCCTGAGCTCCCACGCCGCGCTGAGGTGCTCTTGCTGCAGTGATAGGGGCTTGTCCTGGCTGAGAAGGAGCTTCCCTTGGAGGAGAACTTGTAGGGCAAATTTTACTCTAGCTTATGTGAGACTTTCCAATGGCTCCCTTCTTGTCATCCCTAGCCCTGTTTCTTCGTGATGCCAGCCTGTTTGGGTGCCTTGTCTTTGGCTAACTGGCAGGCACCAGCGTAGTAACAAATCTCCTTGATTTCTCCAAGTTACCATTTTTTTCTATCTTGAGTGAAACAAACTTAATTTCTTGACTGTTTGTTAAGGAACCATTAAAAGAAGCTTATTTTGCTTCATAAGCTGTCATTGTCCACACTGTCATTGTTAGATAATGACAATACTGCCATTTTTTTTTCTCTCCCATTTATCTGACTTACGTTGAAGCTGTTGAACAGTGGACTATTTTACTTTGATATCAATATAAAGCTAGAATAGAATTCATGATTCCAGTGTAGCTCTGGACTCCTGTTTAGAAGTGGCAGGAAAATGTCATTAACTGAACAAATCTTCCATGCAAAATAAATATTCTTGAGTAGTGGGATTATGTGGAACCTGGCATTGAGAAGGCTGAAACTTTCTTTTGTATTGAGTAGAGCAGCTCTTAATAAAGTATTGTGGAAACATGTCTATGATGCATTATTTAAGATACAAACCATGCATGTGACCAACCAGCAGGTCTCTGATGACATGAGTGCTCTTACATAATGGAACTCATCTGCTTCACTCCAGGGGCACTGATAGGTTTTGTGCCACTACAACTGCAGAAATTAAAGTCTGTCTCCTCTGCCCAGTCTTCCCTTCCTGTTTAATGTAGAGGGGGGTGACTTGATAATGTGCCCTTCACAGCTGCATGTACAAGCTGGTCATAAGACCTGGTGTCCAGCCCTCTGAGCCTGCACCTATGGGCCTCTGCCCACAACCTTCAGTTGGTTTGTAACTACTGAACTTCCTCATTTTCTTTCATTGAAAAAGCTTAGAGGAACTTGAATGCTGGGAGGTGCCGTTTTCATGCTGAGCCTTCTAGTTAGCTGAAGTGAAGTTTGAGAACAGAAACAGCGATATTGCTACGTTATTGTAGCTCTGGGCTGTTTCAGCCTCCTGCAGGCTGTTCATAACTCATCTTGATGAATCAAGACGACTTCCACAACTGTTTCTGACCTACATCATCTAGGAAACTTGTCGTGCCCACTGTTACGCAACGTGGGCAAGTGTATAGCTAATGTTTAACTGAACAACATGGTACCCAACTGGAGCCTCTTTCATTCAGAGTCTAGTAGTGGATAATAATGGACAGAAAATGGTCAAGTCTGTGCAAAACTTGTCTTCATCCCCATGTCTCAAGGCAGCTGCAGTCCATGTCACCTTGCTTCAAGGCTGCTGGCATTAACTGTTGCAGTTAGCACCTTAGTGAGCCGATATGGGTGGCAGTGAAGGGTTGATGGTTCCAASAGCCCTGTGCAGTGGTGCTTCTGAATCTCCTTGGGATGCATTACAGCATATTCAGTACCCATAATTTGAACTGAAGATCCCCTCGGACCAGGACAAGTACCATGTGACAAACTATTACCTTACCAGGTCTAAAGGAACTTTTGATTTTTATGTTTGTGTTGCTGGGTCGGAGGTTTTATATTAGGCAAGAGTACCTAGCTCCCAAATCGGAGCAGCTTTGGGAATGCAGGCTGTTATCTGTGTATTGTCTACTGTAGAAGTCAGCTTTGGCACAAAATAGCAACGCTGTGCAGCAGCAGCAGAACTGTCCCCTTAGAGATTTCCAAGGAAAATTTTGGTTCTTCTGCCATCAAAACTGCCAGACTCTTGTCATAGAATTTTACAGTGAAATTTCTTATTTGAAGTATCCATGGGAAAGCA